TTTTTTTTTTATTTTTTCTTTCTCATGTTTTGGTTTGTTTAGTTTTGTGACTGTCCCATTGCTCTGTGTAAGAATTTAATAGCATACTGCATACTGCCTACTTTTATAAATAATAGGACTTTGTCTGAGAACCTTGAAAAACAAGATAGAATTTCTGTGAGCCTGAGCTTTTTAAGGTAACACTGAGATGTTTTCTGTTGTTGTAGAGTCTCCCTACTGCTCTAGCACACAACTGTATCCTAAGAAAGCTGCAGTGTGGCGATCTCTGCAGGGAACAGGCAGTGCACAGCTCGAGAGTGCAGCTGTAACAAACCCAAGGCAGACGTGGCTGGGATCACTAAAACAAGGTATTAGTGGAGAAACTTTATCTACAAATACGGCTACAATTCAGCCTTGTGGTTAGCTTAACATACAAACTCTTGAAAAATAGCTTTCTGTTGGATTATAGGCTACCCAGAAAGCCATTTCTCTTTTATTTATTTGGGTGGTTGGAATTATCTGATGTTGAGCGTTGGAATTTATAGAAGGAATAATTAGCAGCATCTGGAGTTCTGTGTTGCATTTGCTCAGAATAAATTGACAAATTTAATTCACAATTAGCCTTGATTTTTGAATTTTTTTTTCCTTTTTGTTGGCAGGAATGAGCCATCCTCTGAAACTCGATGTTGACGTGGGGCATATGCGAACCAGCATTTCCAGCAGCACTCCAGAATACTTGAAGGAAGCTCTAGGAATGAAGAAACCAAAACATTCTCGTTCTTCTAGTAATGGTAACCTATGTAATGATGTGGTAGAGAAAACTCAATGATCTTTTCTCCATGTAAAAACACATATTGCTTAAGATATTAACTTTAGCAAAGCAAGAGCCATTTCGGTTTAGCCTGCATTAAAATATATGTATCAAAATACGATCCATGAGATGCTTCTTGAGGCTTCTAAATTGGATAAGTCAGGGTTTCCCAATTTTTTTTTGAGCAATGAGTCACTATAAGCTTTCAGAACTTTTTGAAATTGCTGTGCAGCTGAAAACCTTGTGAATATAATATGGTTCAATGGGCCAGCTGTAGGCAATTTATTGTGACTTTGCAAAACATAGTTTTTAGGAACCATTGATAGAAACCATCTGCTTGCCTGAAATTCTGTGTAATTGACTCCTTTTACTTCTTCTCTAGAAAGTGTTTTATCATGTGGTTGTGATACTAAAATCAGTTGAGTTTTGAGTAGAGCAAAATTTTAAACTTTTCTCCTGCTTTTCTTAAAGGAGAAGTGTAAACTTAAAAGTCCCACTTCCATTGAAAATGACAAGCTGTTACTAGTAGTACACGGTTCCTGGCAGCTTTAAAAGATGATAGTCTTTTACATGTTAGGCATAAATAGAAAAATGTATTCTGGACATCTTTAAGAAATCTTTTCTTAAATAATTGATTTATTGGGATGGGAAGACTGCAGTCTTCTGTGAAGTGTCTGTCTTTCTTGAGATGGATATTTTAATCTAGCACCAGAGAGAAGAGAAGTAATTAGGAGAAATACTGTAAAATCTGGCAGAAGTTTCATACAATAACATTTCTATTTTTAAAATTAATTTCCTTGCTGATTTTTCCTATTAAAAAAGTCTGTTTTACAGTTTGGTGCTGTTATAGATTTTTTTTTTTCCTTTACCTGTAAGGTTTCTGGTTAGTTAAAAATGCCTCTTTCAGATCTGCTTATTTTATATACCTTTTTCTGTAGGCTACATTCCTGGAACTCCTGACTACAAAGAAAAAGAAGATATGTATGATGAAATTATAGAACTGAAAAAGGTACAGTCTCTCTGATACCTGTATAGACAGTCTTAGCATTGCTCCCTCCATCTGTAGATGTCCAGGCCTTATTGGTTTAAAATACTGTGATTTCTACAACTGGGATATCCACCAAATTTATTTTTCATCTGTAAGGTAAGGCTAAACTAAACTTGTGTCTGCTTAAGGCAATTTCATTGTTCTTATGGTGTGATAGATACTATGAATGGAATATGGATGTGGAAGCCTTGAAGTATACCCAGTCCTGAACCCTTGCCAAGGCCCTAGCTGGATGCTGAAAAGGTTCATTGAATTTGGGTGTTTTTGTTCCTCCACCTCCATTTATTTTTTTTTTTCCTTCCTGGCTGTTACCCATCACAAGTTAACAATTTGTCAGCTGAGTTTAGTGCAGTGTGTGAGAGATGAGGCCTGGGCATGCTGAATGCTGGGGATGGGTATAGATGAATATTTGGCTGTTGTAGATCATGTGTGTGAAGTTGCCTTTCTGTTAAACCTTTTCCTTTTATCTTTGCTCTGTCACCAGCCTCATGTGTCAGCACTGGTCCAGTCTGATGGTCTCTATTATTTTCCTTTTGCTTCATCCTGACCATTATATTTGGATTGTTATTGACATCAAAACATGTTTCTGTGTGAAAACTCAATGTGTTTCTCTCTCTGAGATGTGCTTGTGATTTTTCTGCTCCCTTAGACAATACAAGCTCAGAAAACTGAGGGAGATCGAATGAAAACGAAGCTCCGTCGGCTCGAAGAAGAGAACAACAGAAAGGATAAACAAATTGAACAACTGTTGGATCCTTCCAGGGTGACTATTTCTTGGGGGATAAAAATGGGGCAAGAGAGTGCTGAGCAGTGTGGTCGACTTCTCGTTGTCTCTCTAGATGTCAGGAGTGTGTATTGTGATGGCTCCAAGGAATGATGAGCTTGAACATGAGGTGGCTGGTCACTGCAAAGGCATTTCTGTTTTGTGTATCCCAGCTCACCAGTCCAGCTCAGTTCAAAAGAATATCATGCCATGCTGGACAGATAACTTTATTTAGGAAAGATCTTTTAATTTCTGAAGGTGAAATTAAAATACTGTCTCTTTAAAGGCATGGGTCCTAAATATTTTCCCTGAGAGCTGAAGCGAGTAACCTGTTGCATGGAGACTGATGGATGTGGTCCTGAGACCTGAGTGAGGAAGCAGAAGATGTGACTTACTGACAGACCCACAAGGCTGAGAAGCAATTAGGGTCATAGTTAAAAGACCTGAATTTCACTCAATTCCTTGTGGCTGACACTTTCTGTGGGCAGGTAGACAGCTTGGGAGAAGTGTGCCAATATAAAACAAGGAGCATAGGGACTTACTGAGCTGTTGGACTGTGAGATGGCTGTGGAGACAAATAAATTAAAAAATACTGTGGAAAGAGCCAGCAGCAGAATCAAGTAGCAAGGTAGGTCACTGACTTTATCTACATTACCTTGCAGGGTTCTGAGCTGGCACGAGCTTTGTTGGAAAAGAAGACTGATAATGGATGGGTAATAATTTCTTCACTACCTTTTGCTTTCATTTTTCCTTTTTTCCTCTTGCCAAACCTAAACACAACTGAATAAAAAAATAAAATTAAATAAGAAAGAATAAGCAATTGGGCAATCATGTAACTATTATTTCTACAGTCAGATAAGAAACCAGTAACAATGATCCCAGGCTTTAAGGAACCTT